CAATCTTTCTTTCTTTTCGAAGATATTTATCACGTATAATTTATAAGTTTGTTATCATGCTCACATTATAAATGAAATAATTTAGTTTTATGATATCATCTTTTATGTTAATAAATAATTTTATTTCATTATTATTAAATTATAATTTCAAATTTTGTAACAATTTAATTTCATAACATTATAAACTTAAATTATTTTATTGTTAGTTAAAATTTTTTCTATTAACTCCTATAATTTGAGCAAATTATTATATAATGTCATATTTTATGTTAAGTCATTTTTTACATTACATATGTTATAATTATATTATTATATATATGTGATAAAAAAAAAAAAACAATTTAGCCCATTGTCTACACCGAAAATTGCATTTTTTAGTGATGCTATATGTTAATAGATAAGGTGAGGTCACATTAGATTTACTATAGGGATTTAGCTATGTAAAAATTGGTTTTGGAGAATGTTGAAAATTATTTGGTTTGTTATAGTTTGAATTTAAAAAAAAACAAAAATTTTTAGAATTTAGAAGGAAGTACAATTGATGAGTTATCCATATTCTATGACAACCAGCAAGTGAAGCGAGAAGACAACTTGCAAGAAATGTATAAAGAAGCTTTTATATTTTTTAAGGAACAACGGCTAGTCCTACACAAAACTCATCAAATTTTAAATTCTCTAATTTCGTAGTGATTGCTCACCTTATCTTGCAAATTTTAGTTTTAGCACAAATCTCACTGAATTTAGGTTGTTTTTAGCATTAAAGTAACTAAATTAGTTCATGTAATTGTTTTTGTGATTTCCTTTCATGCAATAAACATCAAGTTTATTCTAATTTTCATTTCATTCAGTTCATTTAGGATATATTTACTTAAATTCAAAGTATTGATAAAATCCTTGAGATTTTCCATGATAGATTAGCAACCCATTCTAGAGGAACGCATTTCTGCCTCATGCAAATCGTCTGAAGGACATAGAACTCAATCTTAAAACCAACTTTTTTTTAATCATCCTAATGGAGATCGACTGCGTGAAAGGAGACAGTCGTTGAGAAAATTTTTTTTTCTTTGCTTTTTAGAAAAATAAGTGGTACATCTACATTCAGATATACTCGGTGCGAAGCTACTTGAGGATTTTTTAAGAAACAACCTCTCTTATATTTTGGTCAAGTTTCGTCCTGTCAATAAGTATGCTCCACGACACATGCAAGTCCAGTCCCGTTTGACAAAATTCTGTGACCCTTTAATTAGACTTGAGAAAGTGCTACTTCCGACCATGGAATTAATCAATGTTTGGATGGCCAACAATGAATCCGTTTCAAATACCACTTTTTTGTATCCCTTATTCAATGCTAATTCCATTCCCTTCAAGATAGCAAACAACTCAGCCCGTATTGCATGTCCTCTCCCAACTGTTGAGTGAATCCAAATAACCATTGTCCAGCGGAGGCTCGGCATGCTCCATCCGCAGCTGACATTCCAGGTAAACCTTCTGCGGATCCATCTACATTGACTTTAATAAATTCTGACGGTGGAGGTTTCCATCCAATTAACTCCTCATGTTTCAAACTGGTTCTTTGCTTTTTCAAATAATAAGCAGCCTCCACTAAGTGAGATTTTAGAAGAGAATCTGTTATCGAATACCACATGTAATTTCCATCAAAAACAGTCTTATTCCACCCTAGCCATATTTACCAACAAATGACAGCAAAGGCAACATTCCATTCTAATTTGAACTCCTTGATCTTCCATTGACATGTTATATTTTGATGGATCCATTTGCTACACTCCATCGATTGTCATTGGTTCCATTGGTAGTCTCTAAACTAGCTAGCGTCTCCATATTGCTTCTGACGTAGGGCAGTCATGGAACAAGGGGAGCACGGTTTCTGGCCCTGTGTTTGCAGCGTGGGCAAACATCACTTGCCTCTCGAAACTCTAGCAGAATTGGTAAGAACCCTCCTCTCATGGGCTATTGACCACAACAACGTCTTAGATTTTGGAGGGGCTCTCATCTTCCAAAGTTTGTTTCAAGCAACCATTGGAGGAAATTTTCAGAATTAATAAGCAACTCATCGGCACTCATGGGAGAAAAATTACCAGTGCTATTATGTTTCTATATAATCTCATCAACCGCTTGAGAGTACGTCCTTAATTATCTAGGTATGTTATCTCCAACTGGAGTAATATACCTGCAGGGAGAAACTGCCTCAAGTTATTCAAGTTCCATCCATTACTGCTCCAATAGTCCGATACCAATTTTTCTAAGTCCTCCTCAAAATACTTACATGACGATGCATGCAGTGGTTTCTCTTTTAGCCAACTATCCAACCAGAAGCAAGCCTTTTTACCGGTATTCACCAAGTATCCTGTACCCTTAACCACCAATTGCCTAACTTCTAGAATGCTTTTCCAAGGTATGTGAAGCTCCCGCCTTTGATGCTGCTGAAAGAAAATCCTTGTCATGAAGATACTTTAGCCTTCAAAACTTTGATCCAGAGGGGTCGACCTCGGTTACTAGTCTCCACCCAAGCTTGGAAAGAAGAGCTAGGTTCATTTCTTCCGCAGACCGAAAACCCAAGCCTCCCATGCTTTTAGGTAAACATACCGTGCTCCACTTAACAAGAGGGATCCTTCTGTGCTCACTTGTTCCACCCCAAAGGTATTTTCGTTATTTATTTTAGAAAGTGATTTGATTGACAAAAACTTTAATTGATAAAAAAGTCTGAATCTTTATTTAATTGATAAAAAAGGTTTCACGGGGGCAATTGGAGCTTTTCTGTTATCTGTGCTGGTTATATGGCATAATAGGAATGAGATCGTGTAGAGTGATAAAGGTAGGGACCCAGTGCAGATTATAGAGCATGCTATGTGTTACAAGAGGGAGTTTAAGCGGGCCCAAGATCTACCAAATGAGCATGGGGGCCGAAGGGATTGTGTTAGATGGTTTCCACCAGCTGCTCCTTTGTTTAAACTTAATGTGGATGGAGCAATTTCTGAGCAACAACGGATTTTTGGAATAGGGGCAATAATAAGAGATGAGAGCGGGAATGTTATGGCAGCTTTGCAAGCAAGGGGGCATGGGTATCTTTCTCCTGAGGTGGTAGAATTAGCTTGCGAAGGGGCATAATGTGGGCGTTTGAGTTGCGTTTCAATAGGCTGGTGGTGGAGTGTGACAGTAGCAATGTTGTTGCAGCGGTGGGAAAAGCGGGTGCAGCGGTATACTCAGAGTTGGGGATGGTGGTTCAGGACTGTGCCAACTGCAGCAGGTCTACCGTGAGAGTAACAAGGCAGCGCAAGAGTTAGCAAGCTGGGCTTTCGATGGGGCGGTGGAAGCGGTGGAAAAGATGTGGATCGAGGAGATTCCTCCACATATTGTGGATATTATACTTCAAGAAAGAGTTTAGGCTTATGAGGCTTATGTTTGTCTTTTATATGTAGTTTTCTAGTGGAATGGAATAATATGAGGAAATTCAGATAAAAAAAAATGATTTTGATTTGTAAACACTAAATTATATATCCTTTCTTTTCATATTCTTTAGTTTTTTGGTATGGAAAAAGACATCCTTTAATATATAAATTAGTAAAAAAAAGAAAAAATATTTTGTGATGGAAACAGTAAAATTTAGAGATTGTTTAAATTAGTTGATCAATTGTTTATATATCATTGAAATGGCAATGTGATAGTTACAATATTACATAGAATTAAACCTTATAATTATGATATAGTATTAATATGGGGAGAATTATTGCCACACCTTAATTTGTTAATCCCACATCATGTTAACTTATTTGATCATTTTACCCTCTTCCTTTGATTTTTTTGCTTTCGTCGTCTTCTCCGATTCTCCCATTTCATCCCCCCACATCGTTACTGTGATTTTTTTTTTTT